ACCATTTTTTTTATATAAATATTTCAACACTATTTGACTCGTCTACATTATATTGTCTTTGCTATACCACGCTTAAATTCATAATTGATATATAATATATAATTAATTATATATAATTTTTCAACACTATATTTATCTGGGCAACAAAAAAGAATCAACCAGAAAAATATACCCACACACAAACAAAATAATATTTAATATTTAAACAAAATATTTAACCAATTTATTTTAAATAAATTCAATTAAAGTGCTTTATAGGGTATTCAAGTAGTGCATCATTTGTGACTTCCATGCGACTCGTGTTTGTTTTTTTTCCCCTTTTTTTTTGTATTTGTACTAAAAATACATTGGCAAAGTGAATTGTATTAATAGCAGGGCATTTATTTAGTTATTTCTTTCTATGTTGTTTTATTTGTTTTGTTGTTTCTATTTATTTTTTATTTATTTTTTTTTTATAATTTTTTTATTTATTTTTTTATTCATTTCTTTGCGCGTTGCTTCGCATTTGTGTTTATTTACTTTGCCGCTTTGCGCGCTGCAAATCTTTTCGTTTCGGGGCCCTTCAAAAGATTTATAAAGTAGCCGGCTAGGTAAATGCCGGGCAGGGGGCGGTGCGGGACAGGGGGCGGGGCTGCACAAGTGCCGCCTGCGTTTCGGGGTGTACATTGAATAGAGGACGGTCCAAATTTACTGAGCCGTGACGCGGCGATCGCCGACGAAAGAAAACTGTGAATGGAATTGTGTTCGCAGTGCATAAACCGAGCGCTATTTGCAAAGTTGCACAACGCTAGCGCTAAAAGATACATTTGTATCTGTATCTGGGAGTGTGTGCGTGTGTATCTCGCAGCGTCATCAAAAGGTATTTTACATTAATTCAAGATTTATGCATTCAACATTCGCTAGGTGCTGCATTTGCCATTCGCGTCGCCATCGCAGACATTGCCCCAATGCTGCAGCCTGCCTGTTGCACCTGCCGTCGCCCAGCGCTGCTGCTGCTGCGCAGTCGACGTCGACGTCGGCGTCAAACGTGGAGCTGCCAGCAGCAGGTGATCCATTTCTTTTATCCGGTGGCTGTAGCTGCTCTCTGGGATGTGCCCCGAAAATGCCGCTGCCAGCAGCGCCTATTTTCAGGTGTGTGTGTGTGTGTGTGTGTGTGTGTGTGTGTGTGTGTGTGTTAGCCAACTAATGCAGCTAGACAAGATGAGCTGGGGGCCAGTTCAGTGCTTACCCTTTGCGGAGTGCTGAAATTCGCTCGGGTTATACAATTTGCAGCGCTTCGATAATAGATATATGCACATATTTTCCACATAAATATATATTTATATCTATCTGTCCATCTCTAGAGATATAGGTGCATATACTATATAAGTATGAACTGCATAATTTATAGGCTTTGCGTGTTCAATGGGTTGCGACGACGGCGACAGCGTTTGTGGCCATATGGCAAAGGCAGAAGGCAGCGGCAAAGGCAGCGGCAAAGGCAGCGGCAAAGGCAACGGCAGCCGCATGGAAAGCGGCCCAGTTGCATTTGCAGCGGCAGCGGCTGTTGCAGTTGCAGTTGCACTGCCAGTTGCAGTTGCAGATGCCGATGCCGATGCCGATGCTGATTACCGGGCGCAATTTGCTGGAACTGAAATTGTGAAGTGATGGAAGACAATTCACAATGTTGAACTCTGCTCTGTATTGAAGATCTACATTCAACTGATGCGTAGCTTTTACTTGTTTCTATACGCTTTTCTCTATCTCTATTTCTATCTCTATCTCTATCTCTCTCTCTCTCTCTCTCACTCTATCTCTCTCTCTCTCTCTCTAGAGTCACCAAATTTGCCATGTAGCTTCTAGAATAGTGTATCAAGTGTCTTTCAGCTTATGTTGGTAGAAGAAGTTTCAGGGTATTACCTAGTCGGGCACTCCCTACCAGAGCACTCTTACTTATACCTATACTCTCGCAATTTAGAGCAGTTCAATTTTAAACTTATTTCACATTGTTGAAGATTTCCCATTTGGGCAAAAAGATCCCAATTTATCTATATATATAATTTACAAGTTAGATATACTATATTTGCAATCTAAAGATTTCTATATCGCAATTAACTAAGATATTCCGAATATTTTATCTAAGAAAGTATTTAATTTATAAAATTTAATGCTTCAATTTGACAGCTGTTTCACATTTTCTAAGATTTCCAATTTGGGAAGAAGAAGCCGGTTTTTTTTCCATATCAAATTTTACAAACTATTGAGTTTAATATGATATATTTTTAATAAAAATATTTCTATAGCTCAATTTGATTGGATTTTTTGAATAATTTATCTAAGAAAGTGCTCAAAGTATATTTGACCTTTTCTAAGATTTCCAATTTTTAATTTTATTATGTTTATCTTAAGAATTTCCTAATATATTTAGTTTTCTTAAAAGATTGCACACAACAAGAAACTAAATGTTTTCCTACATGAAATAAATTAGTCGCTATTTTTCACAGCTCGTGCAGATCATTTTTGTGTAGACGTCTTCGCGCTATTTTATTCAATTGTCTTGTCACTTGTTGACAAAAATATCCCACTTAATTGGTCGTTTTCGCGTTGTGTGGTATTTATTTTTGGATAAAAGACGCAACAAATCTTTGTTTCTTTCGCTTGAACTGCGAATAGCTAATAAAAAAGCCGCGCAAGCAATTAGTTTACGTAGATTTTAAAGCAACACACTTGATTTATTTTCTTAGGTGTATAATTTAATAAAGACTTTTAACTTCCAAAATACATATAAATAAGTTATCATCAAAATCACGCTCAAATTCGCTGCTCAAGCCAAGCTACCCAAGCCTAGCTGCTTGCAATTGCATAATGCGCCCTTCTTTGCGCTTCTCAAACACACATTAGCTGCTTTCTCTGGGAGTAGCTAATGAAAAAGTCGCGCAAGCAATTAGTTTGCTTAGATTTTGAAGAAATACACATGATTTATATTCCCATAGAATAGATAGAGTATAGAATATTTAACTTCCAAACAAATTTTTTATAAACCATCAAAATATACCGCAAGCTTTTTCTTCCAACATAACTACCCAAGCCTAGCTGCTTACAATTGCATAATGCGCTCTTCTTTGCGCTTCTCAAACACACATTAGCTGCTTTCACTGGGAGTAGCTAATGAAAAAGCCACTCAAGCAATTTACTTATGTTTTTACAGCAATCTACTTTATTTATATTCATAGCTATATAATTAAATACAAAAAAATGTATCGTTAACTTATCCTCAAAATCCCACTCAAATTCGCTATTCCAGCCAAGCTACCCAAGCACAGCTGCCTGCAATTGCATAATTGCGCTCTTCTTTTCGCTTCTCAAACACACATTAGCTGCCTACATTAGCCGCATGCATATGTCATTTGGTGTTCACCTGTTCAATTTATATTTCGTACATATCACACTTGGCTCTAATTTAGCCTTCAAACTCGTACACGCTCTTTCAGCTCATTTAGCCCAGTTTAGTGCCAATCATTTGGCATTCATTTGCGTTGTCTGACTTTCTGACAGTTTGCGCCCAAAAAGCACAACTGATGCAAATTATCAGCAATGCAGCTTGCAATTAATCTGCTGCATATGACACCGCAATCACAACTTAACCCATTTCGGGCACACAGACACACAAACTTTGGGGTCCGAGCAGGATAATAAACTGTTGCCAATGGGGTAAACTGGTCTAAATGCGAGTCGTGGCCAGTTCGGGACGTTGGCAAACTGCAGTGCACTAAAGCACTAAACTCAATGGCTTTAATTGAATTTTGATGTCCTTAGCAAATTGTTTTCTAATTAGTTTCAGCGTAGGGACAGCCAGGGATGTATGGCTGCTAGCTGACGAGGGAGGGGGCGTGGGGGGCGATGGGGGGAGGGCTGAAGCGGGGCACATTCTCTCATCCGGCTGGACAGTTGACACAGAAAAAGTTTCTGTCAACAGTTCAACACTCACTGTTGCGGGGGGAGGGGGCGGGTCACTTCAGTCGCGTGGGCGTTTCGCACTTGGCTTCAATAATGACAACTTAAAACTAAAACAAGCAACAGCGCACCAAGTGTCTAAAGTGCCCGACTAGCAGATACCCTTTACGAGTGCTAACAATAATTTTAGATAAACTGGAGATCTGACATACTAGAAATTCTTTTTGGAATCTCAAGTCTACAGAGAATTGTAGTCAAACAGACTGATATCAACAAAGGCATAAAAAATAGACGCTTTTAATCGATATTTATCGATTTCGGAACAACAGACTTTACAAACAATAATTTGAAATAAACTTGATCAGTTAAAAAACCTATTTTTAAAATTTTAAGTATCTAGAGCAATTTTAACAGGCAGAAATGGTTAAAACCCAAATACTAGAAATCGATATTAATCGATTTCACAGAAATACGTAACTAGTAATACTTTGAAATAAACTTGATCTGCTATTCTAGAATGTATTTAACATTTCAAGTATCTAGTGACCAGATCGAGAAAGGCTCAAGAACTCTGTTCTTGAAATCGATATTTATCGATTTCGGAACAACAGGCGGAGTAAGCAAAGATTTGCAATAAACTTGATCTGACCTAGGAGAACTTCAAGAACTCCCTAAAGCCGCTAGATGAAAGTGTTCAGACAGGCAGACATGACTATATGAATATATTTCGAGACAGGCTCATAATGCCGGTGCTGTAAATCGATATTTATCGATGTCTGAAAACAGGCGGAGTTAACAATAACTTGAAAAAAACTTAATCTGATAAACAATAACTTTTTCAAACAGAACGTTATAGACGGACAGACGAACAGGCAGCTGGACATGATTAGATCAACTGGGTTGCTGATCAAGAATATATATATATACTTAATGATAGCAAAGCTATCACCATTTATCTGTTACATACGTAAGCCCAGAGGCAATATGGCCATTTTTTTAAGCATTTACAAAGGGTACAGGGTATAGAAAACTAAAACAATTAATGCCACGTCCACGTCGACACTTACCCAGGATCATTGGGCACCTCCGAAGGCGAAACGGGTCCCAGCTCCGTTTGTTGCTGCTGCTGCTGCTGTTGTTGCTGCTGCTGCTGCTGTTGCTGCTGCTCAATCTTGATGTCCATGTTGGCTATCTCTCTCTATCTCTCTCTCTTTCTCTCTGTCTAACTCTCTCTCTCTGGAGCCGTCTGGGTCCTCTGGAACTGTGTGTGCTTTGGCTAATGTCCTAAAAACTGTTGATGTGACTGTTGCTGCTGCTGCTGCTGCTGTGCGGGCATCGAGGAGCTTGGTGTAGGAGGTGTGCGTGTATGTGTGTGTTGGTGTGTGTGTCTACGTCTAACGCTAACTAAGACGACGGCGACTCCGGCGACGGCGACGTTGCGAGCTATCAATCTAACGCCGTTTTAATCATTGACAATGGCTGCTAATACGCTACTCGACGCGAGTTCCATTGGTGTTGCTTTTGCTGCTTTTATTTTTATTATTAATTTTATTATTTTGCTTATCCAAAACAAAATTGTTTACGTTTTTTGTTACATTGCGCACTTTGAATCACATTTCTGGGTTGTTGCTTCGTTTTGCAGGCCACTTTTGGTTAACAAGTTGTTGGATTTTTGTGTTTTTTCTTTATTTTTATGTTAAGTTTTTTTTTTGTTTTTTGAGAAATGTTTAGAAACGTTGCGTTAACTATTGTTGTTGTATTTGGTTTGAAGGCAACATATTACTGCAATGAATTTTGGTTTCAAAAATAACACAACAACAACAACAAAAAATCACGCCATTAAATTGGCTGAGACCTAAAACAAATTGCAATTTCTAAGCAGCTGTAGTCGGTAGTCTCTGCCCGTAAATTCCAAATGATTCGAAACGTATAATCGTAAAACTCAAACAACTGTGCGAGGCGCGGGGCTGCGGGGCGGCAAATCTAGATACGTTACAATGAATATCGCTGTTTGAAAAAACAAAACATTTTTTGGTTTTTCTTCGTGTTTTTTGTAATGCTGAAAGATGCAAATTAAGTGCAAAGGTCATAACAGAACAGAATAGAGCAGCGCAGATAAATGAGTTGAGTTAAGTTTGTCAGCCCTTCTATGCGATTCTCAAACAGAATAGCAGCTGTTGTCTTTCATTGCTAAACATTGACTTCTATGCGCTTCTCAAGCTGACCTTTGCCCTTTGGAGTGGAAAATCCGCTGCTATTGTTTGATCTTGGCTATTGGCGAGAATTACTTTTAAGCTCTCGCATCTTTGCTTGCGCTCTAATATTAAGCTAAGCTTGGCCAGTGTCACCACACACTGTTGTTCAACATAAAAAAATGCATCGCCCTTTACAACACTGCAGCCTAGCTAATCTCTTAAGCTGCTTCCATGACATTTTTATTTTGTGCGCGTTTGCGGCTGTCTACGCAAAGCGCCGTTAGAAATCCTTTAACAAGCTTTACTTCACGAAACGCGGTGCAAAGCAACCGAAAAAAAGTTCGCAAACGAAAACGATTTCATAGCAATGCGCTTTTTGTTGTTGCTGTTGTTGCTATTGTTTTCAATACACGCCTTGATCTTTCCCACACCCACACGCACACACACACACATGAGTATATAAATGTAAATAGTGCATTGCATGCAATGGGGACAGCATGTTGACTCCCCCAAGCAACAACAATAACAACAACAACAATAACAACAAGCTTTATAATAACGCGCAGCATGCAAGCGACACACACATACGCCCTGGGTGGGGGGCGGCTAGCTGTTACGGTACATGCACCGTTACAGCGAGAGCAGAAGTTAACTGGCGGCGGCAGCAAACACGTGACCCGCCAATTGCGACAATTGGCAGCAGCAACAGCAGCAAAAATTCGCAGCGAAAATCAAACGAAAAATTTGCAATGCACAAGTGATCGACTAGCTGCAGCAAACTGCCGCCAGTTGGCGCCACGATCGTCGTTAAGACATGTGTGTGTGTCTAATTGGAGAGTTTCAGGTTGCCGCTGCGACTGCGACTGCGACTGCTGCTGCTCCTGCCGCGTTATTGTTGTTGCTTTAATGGCTTTGCCGGCCGGCCGCCATTTTGCACGTGCGATCGACAAAAGCTGATTGCTGCTGGCGTGGGCGTGCTGCCAGGGCTGTCGCCGCTTTTTATTTATTTCCGGCCTAAAACAAACACTTGGCCTAAAAAAACCAAACACTTTGCCACCTCTCACAGGCGCACACACACACTCACACGCACGCACATACACATGCACACACTCAAATTGCACTTTATTTGTCGTTGTTTGTAATTAGAATTGAATGCCGCGCACTTTTATATAATCGTATATAATTTTGCATTGACACAATGCCCTGGTCGCCCGCCTTTAAATAAACAAACAATTTGTTGTTGTTAAGTGTTGTTGTTTATGCCGTTACTGGCACGCACTTCACTTGCAACTGCAACGAGCGAGCTAAATATTATATATTCTTTATTCGATTGCAATTGCTTCTGCTGCTGCTGCTGTTGCTGCTGCTGCTGATTTTGTGCGCGCACACGAACGCGACAACCAACAAGACGACACTGAGACACGGCCACGGCAGCCAGCCCCAACGTAGCTGAAGCCCCCAAACAACACACTGACACTGAGGCAGCAGCAGCGGCATCGGCAGCGACAGCGGCATCGGGTCACAGTAGCACGCGCTGCACTTGTATTGGTTGTAGTAGTTGTAGTTGAGCGAAGCTTTGCGGCCGCGTCGCAAACCTACCGACGTCGGCAGAGGCTGTGCGAAATGTTCACAGTGCACCAGCCAGCCGGCTGCATTATGCCGAAAAGCCAGCGCACAGCTGATAACTGATAAGCAGTGCAGAGAGCGTGCGTACGTCTGTGTGTGCGTGTGTGTGTGTGTGAGCGAGAGAGCGCACGCCACAACTTAAGAGCGTCGAGTTGACGCTTAAGAGCGATACATTTGTTTCCATTGCGCTTTATGCTTAATGCGTTTGTGTTGAGCTTTCAAAGCTTACACTGCGCACAATTTAAAGAGAAAGCTTTGCGAAATGTTTGGAATATAATTAAATTTGATTTTTGATTCGAGTGAATGCCAATCGAGTGCTAAATTTATCCAGCTATATATTTTAAATACTTCAAACTATTTTAACTCCGTTAAAAGAAGGCTGATCTTGAAAAGAGTCTAAAAGTTGGACTTAGAAGTAAATGCCAATCGATCCAAAACGAAAAAAAAAAAATACTCATTTGAAGATCTGACTTTTTTACCCAAGATTTTTCAATTGAGTTTTAATATACGAGGAAAATTCAAAAAATGTTAATCAAAATACGTAATATTTAAGTCAAGAAAATGTGTTTTACCCTACGCTAAAAATAGTTCGAAACTTCACATTTCTTTACATCTTAAAAATGTTATGTCACAATTTTCGAAGGTTACGCAACACTGCATTTTAATTTTCGAAAAGTTTATAGTTTTATTGCATTTTACATATTTTTTAGAATACGATAAATTTAGCACAGCTCAGCTTCCAACTAGAATCTGTTCGAAATATCGGCTAACATTTTCGTGGGCGAAAAGGAAAGACTTCGAAACACCTCCCAATAGTATGGAAAAGTGTTGTAAAAAGATAGATAGCGTTTACTTTCACTTACAAGGTGTTGGAAAAGGGAAAGATTTGAGTTCATTTTTAAAGCACGACGTGAATTTCAGCGATCCAAGCCGGAGTCCGAACAGCCAAACATTTAACCATCTGCGACTAAGACTACAACAAAAACAACAGCAACCAAAAGTAACGCACGCATTTAACTGGAAGCCGTCGCTGGCTTCGTGGGCGGCGACGGTGGCGTTGTGTCTGTCGTGTCCGGCGCAGCGGGCTCCTCCTTTTCCTTATTCCAGCTCTTCAGACCCTCGGGCAGCGTTGTATCCTCCTCAAAGGAGCCGGTACCCTCGACAAACTCCTCGTACGTTGACTTATCCTTAAATGGACGCGGTCCCAGCAGCTCAATCATATCTTCGCGACTGAGCACCTCATTCTGCAGCAAACGCTCCGCGACGAGACGCACATCCTCCTTGTGCTTGACCAGCAGCTCGGTTGTGGTCTTGTGCGCGCACTTGATGATGTCCCTCACCTCGCCATCGATCATCATGGCGGTATCCTCGGAGTAGGGCTTGCTGAACACCGGGTCGCCGCTTTGGCCCAGGTCGAAACTGACCTGGCCCACCTTTTCGTTCATGCCAAAACGCACCACCTGCGAGTAGGCGATGTCTGTGATCTTCTTGAGATCGTCCTGTGCGCCGGTGGTGATGCGATTGAAGAACAACTCCTCCGCCACGCGGCCTCCCAGGGTCATGCACATGCGATCAAATAGCTGCTCCTTGGACAGCAAGTAGTGATCCTTGGGCAAATACTGGGCATAGCCCAGACCCTTGCCGCGTGGTATAATCGAAACCTTTAACAGCGGATCGGCGTGCTCCAGGAACCAGCCGGCCACCGCATGACCAGCCTCATGGTGAGCCACCGTTCGCTTCTCCTCGGGCGCCAATACATTCGTCTTCTTCTCCATGCCCGCGATGACACGCTCGATGGCCTGCTCGAAATGCTTCAGGACAATGGAGTCCTTGGAGTCGCGAGCCGCTATCAGCGCCGCCTCGTTGCAAACATTGGCAATGTCGGCGCCCGTGAAGCCCGGCGTCAGTGCAGCCATTTTACGGGCCAAGGCGTTCTTGTCGAGGTCCGTTTTGAGTGAGCCCAGATGCACCTTAAAGATGCTCGCGCGTCCCTTGATATCCGGCGCCGGCACATAGATCTGACGATCGAAACGTCCCGGACGCATCAGCGCCTTGTCCAGAATATCCACGCGATTGGTGGCAGCCAGCACCACCACGTTCGTCGTGGTATTAAAGCCATCCATTTCGACCAGCAGCTGATTCAGCGTATTCTCCTGCTCGGAATGGCCGCCAAACGTTTTGCCGCCACGTTTCCGGCCAACAGCATCGATTTCGTCAATGAAGAGAATGCAGGGCGCATGTTTGCGCGCCATGGCGAACATGTCACGCACTCGGGAGGGGCCGACGCCCACAAACATTTCGAGAAACTCCGAACCGGATACGGTGATAAATGGTACATTCGCCTCGCCGGCTGTCGCCTTGGCCAGCAGGGTTTTACCCGTGCCGGGCGGACCGGTTAACATGGCGCCTTTGGGTATCTTGGCGCCCAGATCAATATACTGTTGCGGATTCTTCAAAAAGTTGACAAATTCCATTATTTCAATTTTAGCCTCCTCACAGCCGGCAACGTCTCTGCAAAAGGGGGGGGAGGAGAGTATGTTAATTGTTTCCTTGAGTTAGTCAAATAGAAAAATCTCACTTAAAACCGATGCCAATCTCTGCGGGATTAATTAACTTCGCCGTCGATTGCATGACACCGCCAAATAGGCCGCCGCCCTTGCGTCCACGTCCGGCGCCCATCATATCCGCCGATTTTCTCATCATATAAACGAGAAAACCAATTATCAACAACGTGGGCAGCAGACCCGTTAAACTAGATGCCTCCACTTCGTTGCGATAGATGACGGGCACAAAATTGATGGACTCGACGCCCTGTTCCGTTTGCGCGGTCTCCAGATTGCGCTCAAAGGAGTCAACGCTGCCAATGTTGAACCACATGACACCGCTGCTGCTCTGGCTGGGCTGCAGGCGCACA